CTTGCCTCGCTTGCCTCGCTTGCCTCACTTGCCTTCCTTCCAAGTCCAAGAGACCACACAGAGCTGGTTGATTAGGAAGAAAAGCATGGAACCTGAGGAGAGATCCAAATCCATCACGAGAGATCAAACATGCATGCATGTCTGTATGTATGTATGTCTATTCTCTCTTCTGCCTTCCGCTGCCACTGGCCGGTAGAGTTCTCTGGAGTGATTGATCTCAACCTGCGGGGGAGGGGCGACGAGATCCTCCGCGGCGCCGCCCCGCTAGGCCCGGCCTCGGTCTTTTGCGCCTCCGCCACTTGCAAGCCAATTTCGCGACTTGTTTGCTTCGTCTTCTCCAGGCCCTCACCGGAGACGCTTACTTGCCGGGGGCTGGGCTCCTCTCTGAATATCGGGGGCGGGAGCCTCGATCAGGGGCAAGTTGTCCAGGATGGTCGTCGGATCGGCAGCAGACAGCTGGGATAGCAGCTCGTCCTGAGCATGCAGAGCCACGCTAACACAACCCACTGTCTTGCCTCTTTGCGCCTCCAGCCTGCTCAGCACCACCTTTCAAGAGACGGGAAATTGGAGGCCATTTCTGCACGGCGGCCCGAGGCGACCCGGCAACGCCTTGTACTCGTTCTGCCGTCGAACCAGCGTCTGCAGCGCTTGAACACGAGGCAGTAAGCTGCCGACTGAAAGGATCGACCGCTCTGGGCGCCTGCTTCTCCTCCTCGAGCTGGGGCTTCTCGCAGTTCACCACCATGGCCAGCACTTGCTCCTGGCAACTGCGAGATTGTCTGCGACACAGATGCCCGCCGCGCGGCCTCGAGACCCTCGGGAGTGACGATGAAGTTCACCACCGTACATTGGGCAGAAACCTGGCACGTCACCGCCATCCCGCTCCCTTAAATCTTGAGAAGCAATCCAACTTCAAAGCTGTAGACATGTAAACATGTATAGTACGAAGTCGATGTACTGCATTTGCTGCCTGTACTGCTTAACAAAACACCAACATGAAAATGTGCGACAAAGTGCGTGCGAAGTTTGCCATATGACAAGAAATGACCACACTCCGGCCTGTGGTTTTGGAGTACTGGATCCATAGGTTTTGAAGGCTAAACCCACATACCACAAAGGTTGTGCGTTATGTAGCAATCCGCCGAGGCCACCGGCCCAGGCGTCTTGGCACCTGTTTTTTGGCGTTTTTTGGGCAGCCAGCCTCCCTCCCACCTACCACCCCCTGCCGCCCCCCGCCCATTTCCCCCCCCCCCTTCCCTGCCCTTCCCCCCCCCCCTTATCCTTTTTCCTGCCCCTCCCTCACTGCCGCCCCCCTCCCGCCGTTGCCGCCTCCCCTCCCTGCCTCATCTTCCCTGCTGCCCACCTGCCGTTGTTTACACACGCACGCACACACACACACAAAAGCACCTCTCCATGATTTCACATGGCTTCCTGCCGCCCGCCGTGCTTCCACTACTGCGGAGGATCCACGGCCATCTTGAGGAAGTCTATTTGCTGTCTTCTTCCCACGACCTCTGGGCTTCTGCTGCGGACA